TATGGTATTTTGATAGAAAATTTCCCCATTTCTTTGAATACATCCTGAAATGTTGTTGAAAAGCTCTCCAACAGAAATTCTGGGAGTTTTCCAGGTGCTGCAAATGGGCAATATTTCAGTTCCTGAACAGTGATGAACAGAGTGGGAGAGACACACAAGGATGCTTTTATGATTATGTTTTGGAAAGAAAACCACAGTCTTTTGACAAGTTCCAGCTTCCTGGAAATAGGAGACAGAGGTGGTTCAACATGATCAAGTGCAGGGTCCTGCACCTGGGCTGGGGCAACCAGAGATATCAAAACACTTTGGGAGAAGACATGCTAGAGAGCAGCCCTGTGGAAAAAGACCTGGGGCTACTAGTGGATCAAAAGCTGGACAGGAGCCACCAAGGTGGTACTGCATCCAGGGCTGCATCAAAAGAAGTGTGGCCAGCAGATGGAGAAAGGTGATTCTGCCCCTCTGCTCTGCCCTGGTGAGACCTCACCTGGAGTGCTGCATCCCCCTCTGGAGCCCCCAGCACAAGAAGGATGTGGACTTGTTGGAATGTGTCCAGAGAAGGGCCACAAAAATGATCAGAGGACTGTAGTAGCTCTCTGATGAAGACAGGATGATGGAGTTGGGGTTGTTCAGCCTGAAGAAGACTCCCAGTGACCTTCCAATACCTGAAAAGGTCCTATAAGAAGGCTGGGGAGGACCTGTTCACAAGATCATGTAACAATAAGACAAGGGGTGATGGTTTTAAGCTAGAAAAGGGTAGATTAAGGTTGGACATTATGAAAAAGTTCTTTAATACGAGGGTGTTGAAGCACTGGAACAGGTTGCTTAGAGAGGAGGTGGAGGCCCCAGCCTGGAGACATTAAAGATCAGGTTAGATGGGGCTGTGAACAATCTACTCTAGTTGGAGGTGTCCCTGCTTATTTTAAGGGGGTTGGACTAGATGACTTGGATGGGTTCCTTCCAACCCAACATGTTCTATGATTCTGTGCATTCTGCTGCCAGGAAGGCCATCCACTGAGACCCTCCAGTCTTCAGCCTGGCCTATTTTGCTGCAGCTCTGTAGGGCTCAAAAGACATTGAATAAGGAGAGACCCAAGATGCTGTCTTCTCCTGGAAGTTGCCTTCCCAGCTTCTAGTACAGTGCCACACCTGCCAGGTCCAGAGACCAGGAGGGTGCAAGGGGCTTCACCTCAGCAACTTTCCTCCCCAGTGTCTTGCAAAAAGCCTCCATGGCTGTTCAGAAACTACAGAAGGTTTGCAATGTGGCAAAATTCTCCCCTCATTTTCTTAGATGTTTAAAGTTGAGATTAAAGGGACAAGCCCAAAGTGTATTTTATTGTCCTTAGGCCAGGTTGGAGCTGGCAGAGGGTGAGAAGTTTTTCAAGGAAACTCTCCCTTGCCTGCTCTCGAGGGGTGAGGGAGCAGTGCCAGTGCTCATCTGCTGCCCTTCCTGCCTGCTGTCGTCCTTCATGACACTCCCCAGAGTGTTGCCTCCTGCTCCCATCTGCCCCAGCCCAGCTCTGGGAAATCTGCTGTGACCCAAAGCTGGAAGCCATTGTCACTTTGTGTTGTCTGACCTCATTCCTCCCCTTCCAGAGAGGAATCAAAACTGAGAGGAGGTCCATGGCCCTGACCAGCAGGCACTGAACCAGGAATGAGACCATTAAAAGGGAGGCAGGAGCAAATGGGTGATCCCACTGCCACGGGCAGGATCCCCAACCCCCCCCCGACCCGTGCTGAGTGCCCAGGAGGAGCTTCTTTTGCTTCAAGGATGGGGTGATGGGCTGTGCTGTCAGATGGGGGACAGGGGTGGGGAGTCAGGAGACTGGGAGGCTCTGCCAAGGTGCAGAGCAGGCCAGCTCAGCTGATGGCAGCTCTGACAGCAGCTCCTGGGACCGGCGGGTGTCGCGGTCCCAAACCAAGAGCTGCCGCGGTCCCGGCTCTGCGGGTCAGGCAGTGCTGCCAAGTGAAGCAAAAGGGGCAGCTTTGAAGGGTAAAGTGTGACTAGAAAGCTGCCTCTGGCACTTGCAGCTCCTTTTCACCCCCTGTTGTTCTTCCACCTTTCTCCCGTTTCCTGCTCCTTGTTGGTTTCTGAGGAGAACACGTGAGGAATGACTGGGGGATCAGGGGGGTTTTAGGAAGGAGTTAATGGTTAAAAGGTTCACAACAAGTAACAGTTCAGTGAAGATTTGAAGGACACAGTATAGAGTATGTGTCAAATGAATGAGCCACTGGTGTGCCCAGGGACCAAAACCTGACCTCACATTGTACCACCAGGTGTTGTGGGAGTCGCTCCAGTGAGGGTTTGCAGAGCAAGGCTCAGATCTCTGTAAGAGGTACCTGGGCAAGTCCATTTCCAGGTGGGTCACCAGAAGCTTCCCAGTGGTGATGAGCTTGGGGAAAGCCCCAGTGTGGGTATCTTGGAGGTGGTAGCCACACTATTGTCTTTGCATTGTTTCAAACTGGGCAGTAGGATGTACTTGGACAAGATTTTTGAAGTGATTGGATGGACTTTACTTTCTGAGTAGCCTGTACAGTCCTGTTCTCATCACTTGCTGCCAAGATCCTTGCTTCCCATGTGATTTGAGCAAATAGCAGAATCCCTGTCACTCTCAACCCAGAACATTTCACCGAGACATTAAAGATCAGGTTAGATGGGGCTGTGAACAATCTACTCTAGTTGGAGGTGTCCCTGCTTATTGTAAGGGGGTTGGACTAGATGACTTGGATGGGTTCCTTCCAACCCAACATGTTCTATGATTCTGTGCATTCTGCTGCCAGGAAGGCCATCCACTGAGACCCTCCAGTCTTCAGCCTGGCCTATTTTGCTGCAGCTCTGTAGGGCTCAAAAGACATTGAATAAGGAGAGACCCAAGATGCTGTCTTCTCCTGGAAGTTGCCTTCCCAGCTTCTAGTACAGTGCCACACCTGCCAGGTCCAGAGACCAGGAGGGTGCAAGTGGCTTCACCTCAGCAACTTTCCTCCCCAGTGTCTTGCAAAAAGCCTCCATGGCTGTTCAGAAACTACAGAAGGTTTGCAATGTGGCAAAATTCTCCCCTCATTTTCTTAGATGTTTAAAGTTGAGATTAAAGGGACAAGCCCAAAGTGTATTTTATTGTCCTTAGGCCAGGTTGGAGCTGGCAGAGGGTGAGAAGTTTTTCAAGGAAACTCTCCCTTGCCTGCTCTCGAGGGGTGAGGGAGCAGTGCCAGTGCTCATCTGCTGCCCTTCCTGCCTGCTGTCGTCCTTCATGACACTCCCCAGAGTGTTGCCTCCTGCTCCCATCTGCCCCAGCCCAGCTCTGGGAAATCTGCTGTGACCCAAAGCTGGAAGCCATTGTCACTTTGTGTTGTCTGACCTCATTCCTCCCCTTCCAGAGAGGAATCAAAACTGAGAGGAGGTCCATGGCCCCGACCAGCAGGCACTGAACCAGGAATGAGACCATTAAAAGGGAGGCAGGAGCAAATGGGTGATCCCACTGCCACGGGCAGGATCCCCAACCCCCCCCCGACCCGTGCTGAGTGCCCAGGAGGAGCTTCTTTTGCTTCAAGGATGGGGTGATGGGCTGTGCTGTCAGATGGGGGACAGGGGTGGGGAGTCAGGAGACTGGGAGGCTCTGCCAAGGTGCAGAGCAGGCCAGCTCAGCTGCTGGCAGCTCTGACAGCAGCTCCTGGGACCGGCGGGTGTCGCGGTCCCAAACCAAGAGCTGCCGCGGTCCCGGCTCTGCGGGTCAGGCAGTGCTGCCAAGTGAAGCAAAAGGGGCAGCTTTGAGGGTAAAGTGTGACTAGAAAGCTGCCTCTGGCACTTGCAGCTCCTTTTCACCCCCTGTTGTTCTTCCACCTTTCTCCCGTTTCCTGCTCCTTGTTGGTTTCTGAGGAGGAACACGTGAGAAATGACTGGGGGATCAGGGGGGTTTTAGGAAGGAGTTAATGGTTAAAAGGTTCACAACAAGTAACAGTTCAGTGAAGATTTGAAGGACACAGTATAGAGTATGTGTCAAATGAATGAGCCACTGGTGTGCCCAGGGACCAAAACCTGACCTCACATTGTACCACCAGGTGTTGTGGGAGTCGCTCCAGTGAGGGTTTGCAGAGCAAGGCTCAGATCTCTGTAAGAGGTACCTGGGCAAGTCCATTTCCAGGTGGGTCACCAGAAGCTTCCCAGTGGTGATGAGCTTGGGGAAAGCCCCAGTGTGGGTATCTTGGAGGTGGTAGCCACACTATTGTCTTTGCATTGTTTCAAACTGGGCAGTAGGATGTACTTGGACAAGATTTTTGAAGTGATTGGATGGACTTTACTTTCTGAGTAGCCTGTACAGTCCTGTTCTCATCACTTGCTGCCAAGATCCTTGCTTCCCATGTGATTTGAGCAAATAGCAGAATCCCTGTCACTCTCAACCCAGAACATTTCACCTTAATCCCAGAGCACCCATCCTCACTTTTAGGTCTCCTTTGTCACTCTCAACCCAGAACATTTCACCAGAGCACCCATCCTCACTTTTAGGTCTCCTTTGAATTGTGTTTGTCAAAGCTTTGTTTGGCTCAAGCCTGGGAAAACTCAGAGTCTAACAGGGAAAACTGGGTGTCTCCCAGGCCAGAGAGGCTGCTGGTTTGTCTGGGACATGTCTGTGCTTCTAGGGGAAATTCTGCTGGGGGGTGTGTAGGGATGGAGGGCAGGTCTTAGTGCTGGGGGTAGCAACTTGTATTTCCTGACTGGACAAGTAAGTGTATCACGATATGATGGCAATGGGTATGGTTGGTCCCAGAACACAGGTGTCCACACCTGCCAGTTTGCAGTCCTCTTCCACCATGGGAGAGGCAGAGCAACACCTGAGCTGCAATCAGAGTGGTTGTTTGTTGGACAACAACGCCGGGTGTGCTGAGGTTTCCACTCGCCGCTCTCACCGACTCCACGGGCTTTGTGAGCACGAGCTGAGAGATGAAAGAGGGGCTGAGCATTTTCCCCGGCCCCTCGTGACATATTTCTTCTCTTTCTCCCTCTGTAGTGAATTTGCCAAAGAACGAGAAAGGGTAGAAAACCGTCGGGCTTTCCTGAAGCTCCGCAGGCAGCAGCAGATTGAACGGGAACTGAACGGGTACTTGGAGTGGATCTTCAAAGCAGGTAAGGCAAGAGGTCTCCCTGTCTTGGTTCAAGATGTTTTGCGACAAGTGGAGTCTGGATGACAGAGGAAAATGTCCCAGAACCCATCCTTGGTTTTGTCATCGAGGTGTGACCCAAGAGTAGAGGGCCCCCCCAGCCAGCACCTGGTGGTTTTGCTGGGCTTGATTCTGAGCAGTCACACTCAAGTTATTGCAAAAAGATCTCCCTTTGGTTAAGCAAACATAAAGGAGCTTGGCCAACTTTATTGCAGAGATCAAAGCAATTGTCTTAATACAGTGTAATATAAAAAGTGAGACAGTGCCCAAAGTGTCCACAGTGGGGGAAGTGTTCCCTTATATGAGTCATTTATATTTTATTTACTTTCCACCACAGCTGTTTTATGAGCCTTTCTTGCTATGATGGTAGAACACACTGGAGTGTCATTTTTATGGGCTGCAGTGATCTCTTTCATGGAACTCATGTGGGTACATATTAACATGGCTTTATAGCTATTGCAGCTGAACATTGCCTTTTATTGCAAGCCATGAGCAACTTTAACAAGGATCCAAACACACTAATTTAACAAAAAATAGCCTCTTTTCCTTTTTTTTTCAGATAGTAAAGGTTACCAATAACCTTTCTGTGTTACAGAGTAGCTGTTCTATGTTTGGACATACCCAAGGTGCAGTTAATTCATGCAGCATCTAGAAAACTTCTGGGGTTGATTTGCTTCCTTGCTTGCTTTTCTGAGAAGGTGAAACATCTGAGTCATGTAAAAATGCCTTTTACAACAGTGTGGGGGAGAAAAGAAAGCAGTGGTTTCTCAAATAGGTTTTCAGGTGTCCTTCCAGGCAGGTCAGCTTCATCCTTGCTCTTTACAACTGGGGAAACTGAGGTCCAACATGAAATAGTGACTCACCTCATGTCAGCTGGTGGCAGAACTGGGACTGTGGGGTGTTCATGTGAAGAGATGCTGGGAGAGTTGAGGCTGTTCAGCCTGGAGAAGAGAAGGCTCCAGGGAGACCCTCCAACTGCCTTTCTGTGGCTAAAGGGGGCCTGTAAGAAACTGGAGGGCAAACTTCTTAGCAGGGTCTGCTGAGATAGAACAAGTAGTGATGGTTTTGAATTGAAAGAGGAGAGATATAGGTCAGAAGAAATTCTTTATAATGAGAATGGTGAAACACTTGCAGAGGTTGCCCAGAGAGGTGGCTGGTGCATTTCAGGGTCAGGTTGGACTGGGCAAGTTGATCTGTCCCTGCTCACTGCACCGGGATCGGATCTTCAAAGTTCCCCTCCAACCCAAACCATCCTAGGATTCTGTGATTCCCACACAGTGGGCTGGCACCATGCTAAAAGCCCTGTCATCATTCCTTGTTTTTGAAGTCCATACTGATGGTAAAGACCTAATGCTTTAAGATGTGCTTGCACCAGCAAGTAACTGCACGGTCACAGCAGCTCACTGCAGCACTGCACCTGCAGAGCATCCTGGTGCTGCTGTGTGTCCAG